ACCAAAACTATGTTTTAATTGTAAAAATGGAAAGGCCAAAATATAATTTATAATACTCTTACAGATAAAAAAATCTTAACCAGCTCAAGCTAGGGACTTATATTAAGCATAATTTTTTAAAACTTTTATTTTAGGTTTGGGGGTCCATGGTTTGTTATATAAGTAAACTGTGTGTCACAGGGGTTTGGTGTACAGATAATTTCGTCGCCTGGGTAGTAAGCATAGTACCTGATAAGTATTTTTTCGAATCCTCTCCCTCCTCCCACCCTCTACCCTCAAGCAGGCCCAGTGTTAAATGCACAAAATCAACATTTTCTTTTAGAGTTATAGCAGTCTGCATGACTTGGTAGAATCAGTGCTTTGGATTGACAGTTTAGCTCCTAAATCTGGCATTTTTTCTTTTGATTTGCAGTTCCTCCTTTTTCTTAACCTTTCTCTAAAACAAATGAAACTTTTGGCTAGCATGGGCCAGGAGTAAATTTCTCAGTTCTTTCTTTTCTTAGCAACTTAAATATTCTTTTTTTTCTATTGATATGCTGGTTCTTCTGCCTGAGTAACCTATTAAAACATAGTTTTGGAGATTCATTCATTCTAAAAACTAAGCTTCCTTTCGGAAAGGATTCCAATTACCCAAAGTTTCTGGAGGGAGAAAGGGGGAGAAAAAACAGGTTTCATTGCGATCTATATTTTGCTACCTTGTAAGGTAAAAGAAGAGGTTGCAGGATTAGATAGAAAATGATATGGAAGTAGAGACACGTTTCAGGATTTGCAAAGTTTGTGTCTGAGATACTTGCAGGAAATTCCAGAATCTCAAAGGAAACTTAAATCAAAAGGAAATATATCGTCCTGAAAAATATTATTCCTAGAATTTTGGCAACTAAAATGCAATATCAACGTTGTTATACTTTTTTGTGGACACAGCTGATGAAAGAAAACCAAACATGGCAATAAAACTTCCCACCACTGCAAGTTTGACTTCCCCCATGTAAGCAAGACCTTAAAGTTATGATAATAGTGCACTTATAACAACAGTGCTTGCATGTACCAGGAACTGTTTTAAGTACTTTAAGGATAATTGGTCTTTTAATTTTCACAACAACCTATGAGGAAGATTCCATCACCATCCCCAATTTTACACATAAAGAAACAAATATAGAAAAGTAACAACTAGTAAGAGATGGAGCTAGGTTATGAACCTGGGCCATTTGCTTCCAGAGTTGGCATTCTTAACCACTTTATGTCTGTAAATTAGTTTTATTCTCATTTAGGAAAGGAATTGCCATGAGAGAAGAGAGTTCAATAGCACTCATGCTGATGTTTAACTGCTCGATGTCATTTCAATGTTATGGGCTATTGCAGGTATGTCTTGGAAATGAGCTATTTACAGCAAGGATGTTTGCCTCTCATTTCTGTAGTTCCCTGAGAAAAGAGCCTGTGTTCAATGATGAGCTCCCATCCCGCATCCTGTGTGGCCTTGTGTCCATCAAGCCCAGTGTGAAGGAGTTCACAGAAACCTCAGCTGTGTTTGAGGATGGGACCGTGTTTGAGGCTATCGACTCTGTCATCTTTGCAACAGGCTATGATTATTCCTACCCCTTCCTTGATGAGACCATCATAAAAAGCAGAAACAACGAGGTCACCTTGTTTAAAGGCGTCTTTCCGCCACTAATGGAGAAGCCAACCTTAGCTGTGATTGGCTTGGTTCAGTCCCTTGGAGCTGCCATCCCCACAGCAGACCTGCAAGCCCGCTGGGCTGCTAAAGTATTTGCAAGTAGGTGGGCCATTCTATCTTTCATTCATTTTATCAATGAACATTTATTGAACATGTGCTATATGCAAAGCACTGTGCTAGGGATACAAAGAGAACAAGACAATCATGTTCCTTGACCTCTCAGAGCTTAAAATGGGTTGTGAAGGATGCCATAATAGGGAAATTTGGGGGGTTCTAGTGAGAGGAGTTAGACAGTGAGTTATTTTACACAGAGCAAACAGCATGCAGGAAGTCATAAAGGTGAGGAAAAGCATGAAATGTGTAAGGACCCGGAAACATTTTGGTGGGAAGGGAATATAAAGCAGAGGCAGGGAGTGGCAAGAAATACAGGTTTATAAGTCATGTTAAAGAGCTTAAACTTCTCATAGGGATTTAGAAGGACTTTGCAAGATTTTAAGCAAGAAAAATATAGCAGAGGATAACTGCAATGTCAGGCTACATTATGAAGGTTGGAAGGGCCCTGGTGAGTGTTGGAGGTATGCCAGAAACCTCATTGGTGTCAACTTCTGTCAGAATAACAAAGTCAGGCCACTCTGATTCTCGTGACAATCTTCTTCTTCCCTCCCTCTACTCTAGACCTCATGGTCTCCAGGGACTACAAGTAGGCTTATGTGAGGAAATCAAGAATATGAGGATTACATGGAGAAAGGCAATGTCTCAAATATATTGATTTAATTTACTCCAGTCATACTATTATTATCATTATTACTAAAAATGTTCTTTTACTCAAGTATTCTCCAAAATATTGAACAACATAGGTATAACTTACCCAACATAACTAATCTATAAAAACTTACACTATTGGTAATTAGTAAAACATAACAATCATGGAATAAATATCTATTATCTAAAATTTTTGTGGATAAATTTCTATTTCACATATACCATGAAATATCATTATTTAAATAAACCCCATCATTAAATATTTTCTAAACGTGCTCCCTGCAAAATACTTCCATTGCCTTTTTCCTTTGAAAGGCACAACAATGCCAAGAGCCTGAGGTATTATGAGAAGACTGGATACAGTTCATAAACCTAGGACATTTTCATGAAGCAAATGGTATCATTTATTTATTCCACAAATATTTACTGAACACCTGCTATGTGTTAGACTCTAACCTGGCATTTAGGACACAACAACAAATGAAGCAGAACAAAAATCTGGCCTCGTACTTTCTAGCAGGGTATCCAGCCAATAGCAATCATAGGGTACTACCAGGCTGACATAAGAGCCTAACGATGACTGGGAAGTGTTCATGCATTGCAAATTTTAGAGGAACTTTCATCCATTATTACAAAGGCAAATAAGTTACCATCATCAGTTAAAAGAAGTTGTATTGATGTAGTGAAATTTGCAAAAGCTAAAAAGTGTCTACTGCCCCTTAAAACACTTCAAATAGCTGCAGAAGGTGTTTAAAATCCTATGCTTCCTTCCATTTTCTCATTTTAAAATGCCAGAAACCTTAAAGGGAACTGTTTTACCAGATTCTTTCTTCAGAGAAGTTTTAGGAAGAAGATATAGAGAAAAAAAAAAAAAAGGAAGAAATTATTAAGCTATTATATGCATGAAGTGTACTGAGCACATATGTTGAGGATGAGGTCCTCCATAATGTTACAGAAATAAGAGACTGAGTGACTTGAAGCTACGACTGTCTCTACTGTCACTATCTCACTACAGGCCAGCTTTGCCATTCCCAAAGAAGGTCCATTAACTTTTCAGGTCTTTGTTTCTATGAACTGGTATTTTGCTAAAAATATCAAAGACAGCTCCTCTTGATACAAAAATTTTCAGGAATACAGTTTATAAAAACCAAATGAATTCCATCATATGTCGTTATGCATTTCTGATGTCTTTGTGTTTTTCAATATTTTTCTCTTCATTTCTTTTCTAGACTCATGTACCCTGCCAACTATGAATGAAATGATGGATGACATTGATGAGAAAATGGGGAAAAAACTCAAGTGGTAAGCAATTGTACTTGCTAATAGAGCAAGTCCTAAAATGTGCCTTTATACGCAGAAAAACATTTATATGCTCTAAATATTGTCATTAGTCAGAGTTTACATTTTTCGAACACGTGCAATAATCAAACAATATTTAGAGAGTAAACAGTCATTACACTTCTTTTGTGTAACTCAAGAATAGAGGTTTTCTATCAGTGATAATTTTGCCCTCCAGAGGACATATGGCAAAATCTGGAGACATTTTTGGTCATTGTGAGTGGAGAGGGCATGCTACCAGCATCTTATGGGTAGATAACAGGGATTCTGCTAACCATCCAACAATGCAGAGCACAGTCCACCAAAACAAATAATTATCTGGCTCAAAATGTCAATAGTGCTGAGGTTAAGAAACGACTCTATAAATGACTACAGTTGACCTTTGAACAACACAGATTTGAATTATATGGGTCCACTTATACATGAATTTTTTTCAATTAACATATGGCAGGCTGGGCACGGTGGCTCGCGCCTGTAATCCTAACACTTTGGGAGGCTGAGGCAGGCAGATTCCCTGAGGTCAGGAGTTCGAGACCAGTCTGGCCAACATGGTAAAACCCTGTCTCTACTAAAAATACCAAAAAAAAATTAGCTGGGCACGGTGGCGTGCATCTATAATCCCAGCTACTCAGGAGGCTGAGGCAGGGGAATTACTTGAATCAGGGAGGTGGAGGTTGCAGTGAGCCGAGATCACACCACTGCACTCTAGCCTAGGTGACAGAGTGAGACTCCATCTCGGAAAAAAAAAAAAATTGCAATTTTTTGGAGATTTGCAGCAATTTAAAAAACTCGAAGATGAATTGTGTAGCCTAGAAATATTGAATAAATTAAGAAAAAGATGGCATGTATAAAATATATGTAGATACTAGTCTGTTTCATCATTTACTACCATGAAATATACACAAATCTATTGTTAAAAAATTAAAATTTATCAAAACTTAATGCATACAAACTCTAACAGACTATACATGGTACCATTCATAGCCAAGAGAAATGTAAACAAACAAAGATGCAATATTGTCATAATTGCATAAAATTAATGGTAGTACATGATGTACTAGTATAATAATTTTGTAGCCACCTCCTGTTGGTATTGCAGTGAGCTCAAGTGTTTTGAGTATCTACTTAAAATTCTGTGTGACATTAATTATTTTCACCTGAGCAGCTCATAGCTCCAGTAAATTCTGCATCACAGTAAAAAGTGATCTCTCAAGGTTCTCACATATTTTTATCATGTTTAGTGCAATACCTTAAACCTTTAATAACACCATGGGCTCCATATGAAGTGTCATTAATGATATTGGAAGTGCTCCCAAGAAGCAGAGAAAAGTTATGACATTATAAAAAAAAAATTGAGTTGCTTAAGATATACTATACATTGAGGTCTGCAGCTATAGTTGCTCACCATTTCAAGATAAATGAATCTAGTGCAGCTATGCCAGCAGGCATGACATCTTGTACTTTTTGTAAAATATATTTTTATTTTATATTGAAAATGCAGCTTTTTATGTGGGTTCAGGATTGCTATAAGAAAGTATACATATAGATTCCAATATAATTTGAGAAAAAGTGACGTCATTATATGACAAAGCAAAAGGAAGGTAAAGGATCTAAAGATGGAAAATTTAATGCCAGCAAAGGATGATTTGATTATATCAGAAAGAGCTTTGGCTTGAAAAATGTTAGGATAACAGGAGACGTGCTTGCTACCAACCAAGAAAGAGGAGATGAATTCCCAGATGCCATTATGAAAATAATTGAGGAAGAAGGATATCTGCCTGAACAGATTTTTAATGCAGACAAAAGTACCCTATTCTGAAAAAAAAAAAAAAAAAGCAAGCCACAAAGGCCATTTATTAATAAGGAAGAGAAGTGAGCACCAGGATTAGGAAGGAAAATAATAAGCTAACTACTGTTTTGTGCAAATGCAGTCAGATTTATGATCAGGACAACCCCTATCTATGAAGCTACCCCCTCAAGCCTTGAAGGGAAAAGATGAATCTCAGCTTCCTCTCTTTTGGTTATACAAGACCCTTTTTCTGGATTAGCTCCGTCAATGCTTTGTCCCTGAAGTCAGAAAGTCCTTGCCAATAAGAGACTGCCTTTTAAAGTTTTTTTTGATATAGACAATGCCCCTGACCACCCAGAACCCCATGCGTTCAACATCGAAGGCAAATAAGTGGTCTAATTTCCCCCAAACACAACATTCTAATTCAGCCTTTATATCATGGAGTCATATGGATCTTTAAGGCTCATCACATACCGTACTCTATGGAAAACATTGTCAATGCTGTGGAAGATAACCCCAATAGAGAGAACATCATGAAAGTCTGGAAGGATTATACCATCGAAGATGTCCTAATTGTTATAGAAAAAGCCATGAAAGCCATCAATCCTAAAACAACATATTTATCCTGGAGAAAACTATGTCCAGATGTTATATATGACTTCAGAGGATTTACAATAGAGCCAATCTTGAAAAAGATTGTGGATATGGCAAAATAAAAAGGTGAAGATGAAGGGTTTCAAGATATGGATCATGGAGAAATTCAAGAGCTAATAGACACCACTAATAGACACTTTTAATTCCACACTAGAGGAACTAAAAGATGCCTTGATGGAGATGAGTGCTTCCAAAGCAGTGCCATATGAGAAAGAAGATATAGAAAAAGCCATGCCAGAAATAAATTGACATTAGATAATCTGGCAGACGGGTTCCAGTTATTCAAGACTGCTTTTGACTTCTTTTATAACATAGACCCTTCTATGATACAGGCACTGAAACTAAAGCAAATGATAGAGGAAGGATTACTACTATATAGAAAATCTTTATAGAAATAAAAAAGCAAAAGTCAGACGGAAATTATAATGTATTTCCATAATTACACCAAAGTGTCTGCCTCTCCTGCCCCCAATTCTACCTCCTTCATCTCTTCCACTTCTGCCACCCCTAAAACAGCAAGACCAACCCCTTCTGTTTCTCCTCCTCCTCCTCCTCAGCCTACTCAACATAAAGATGATGAGGATGAAGATGTTTATAAGCCACTTCCACTTAATGAATAGTAAACATATTTTTTCTTCCTCATAATTTTCTTAATAACATTTTCTTTTCTCCAGCTTACTTTATTGTAAGAATAGTATTTAATACATATGATATACAAAATATGTGTTAATCAACTGTTTGTGTTATTGGTAAGGCTTCCAGTCCACAGTAGGTTAATAAGAGTTAAGCATTTGGGGAGTCAAAAGTTACACATGGATTTTTGACTGCAAGAGGGCTCAATGCCCATAACCCCTGAGTTCTTCCAAAGTCAACTGCATATAGGAAGTTTCTTTACTTTTTCAAACATTTAACATGGCGTTGATATGTCAACCTAAAGGAAAACACGGAGACAAATTTAATATAAAAAGAACTGATTTGGTCCAAGTTTGAGGACTGCAACCCAGGAGCACAGAGTCAAATTGCCCTGAATATACACTCCATTAGCAGCAGTTACAAGTAGGTTTTTAAAGGAAAAACAAGAGTCAACTTCTAAGTTGTTTACCAAGAACTTACATTAAAATTATATAAGCTATTGATTGGCTATACACTGTTCTTTGTATCACAAATTCCAGGAACATGAAGATGATGGGTGAGACAGCTAGTCAGGAATCAAAATGCCTTTTAACAATTGCCCCCAGGCATTGGTAGAGGGCAGCATGACAAGTCCCATACGCCTGGCTATCTGAGCTTGATAAATTTTGCATACCCCACATAGCGCAGACTACTCTGAGCTATTTTTCTTCTCTCACATTGAATGCCACAATGTAGTCACCCACTCAGGGCCTAGAGAAGAAAAGAAATGGAATCCTCAGATTCAACAAAACCTCCTCTGCTCAACTTCATCCAGTTCACAGAACACCTCTCAGAGCTGGGGACTTTTATGTGCTAACAATTCATGCAGCTTGATACGTTTTCCTTTAGAGCCCAGTAGGAATAAAGATGAGGAAACAGGTTAAAATGTTCATCTTATTGCTTAAATGATAAGCTGCTCTTCAGAGTTTCAAAAAGCAAATTAGGCCACGTTCCAACTAAAAGAACTATAGAGGCAGAAAGGGGGTGATCTCTTTTCTGTCATAAAAGGTAATGGCCAACACCCCTATAACAAAAGACAGGTTACAAGAGAAAAACATAACAGATTAATTATGTGCACATGTGTGCATAAGAGCCTTAGAAAACATGAACTCGAAGGAGGGCCAGTTCGTTCATGTTTAAATATTCTCTTCACTGGGGATAGGGGAGATGGAAGTGTAAAAGTAAATGATTTTTCAGAGGAAATTAATGAGTCCAAAGAACAGCAGCCCAGACCAAGTTTCTCTGTGCTTTGGGGGAGGTGTAATCACCCAACAGATTCATCTTGCTCACTGCCCAGAAAAGCTGATGCACTGAGAACAGCAGGTTTTTCCAATAGGGAGAGTTTAATAAACACACAGCTGTCAGAGGCATTTGAACCAGAGTGACTCCATCTTGAATAGGGGTTGGGTAAAATGAGGCTGAGACCCCTAGGCTGCATTCCCAGGAGGTTAGGCATTCTTAGTCACAGGACGAGATAGGAGGGCAGCACAAGATTCAGGTCACAAAGACCTTGCTGATAAAACATGATTCAGTAATGAAGCTGGCCAAAACCCACCAAAACCAAGATGATGAAAAAAGTGACCTCTGGTCATCCTCACTACTTATTATATGCTGATTCTAATGAATTAGCATGCTAGAAGACACTCCCACCAGCACCATGACAGTTTACAAATGCCATGGCGATATCAGGAAGTTACCCTATCTAGTCTAAAAAGTGGAGGAACCCTCAATTCTGGGAACTGCCCATTTCTTTCCTGGAAAACTCGTGAATAATCCACCCCTTGTTTAAAATGTAATCAAGAAGTAACTATAAGCATACTCAGGATGAGGGGCGGAGCAAGATGGCCGA